TCAGTGGCCAAATTGTACTTTTTCACTTTTAAAAATTGCAAAAAATATAAATATCTATAAAAAAATTGCGTTGATTTAAAATAACACCTTTTCATACATAACAATAGTATATTTGGTATCGAAAAAGTACATTTTTAGAAATTTGTATTAAATTGTAGATTCGTACAAAAAAAGTTATGGTAATAAATAATAAAAAAAATTTTAGAAAAATATACCTAAAAACATAAACTTTGCTACATCATCTAAAGGCCTATATAATAAAAATGGGACTACTAATGATAGCGTTATATAGACAAAAGATAAAGGAATAAATAAAAAAATTAAATTTATAATAAAAATATTGAATTTCGTATGAAATATACATAAATTTTACTGCTAAGCAGTAAGTTTTTCTTAATCGGTTAATTGATAGAAATTATTCGGTTTATTCGTTATTTGAAATTTGGAAATTTTCATTTATTCGAACAATTAATCGTCAAAAATTTATCGATTAACCGATCGACGATTAATCGTTTGAATACCCTATTAGGTAGTGTAAAACTTTTCGATTTCAGAACGTCTACCCGTGAAAATAAGCAAACAATACTCCAAAGTAGAAAAAAGCTATAAGTATTGTACTTATTAAGGTAAAGACAATAGATTAATAAAAACTTTTTCACACAGGTCAAAAATACAAAAATATGTATTATGTACATACATAACTATACTAGACGCGTCGTGTATAAACAATAGCGGTATTCGATGTTCGATGCGTTTTGTATTGTAAAAGTTTAATCTTGCAAATATGTTGCTAACGATTGTGAGCGGTTTCTTTCTTTGATATTTGCAATGCAATTTAAGCTTTTTAACAGCTGACAGAAGTCAACAATTAATGACAGTTTTTGTTTGATTTTTTCAATAATATTTGGAAGAGGTTGCCCAGGAAATAACTTGGACTGAATGTAAGACTTTCGCCTATTTATAAGAGGTCTGTAGATACCTAACTTTCCATTTATGTATACGGCCTCAACTAACATTAATTTTTTTTTGTAACAGTTCCGCGGTTTGTAAAAAAACACTTATTTGTTTAAAAAAACGTACTTATATACTTGGTGCCTCCTCCAAATAATCAAATAACATTTATATTCCTTTTTAATTTATTTGGAATAATTTTCGCCTCTATTGTTTTAGTTTCATTTATTTTGTTGTTTACAATTGACTGCTGTTTTAATGAGAGAATTGCAAACGCAATAACGCACCAAAAAAACTATACCCTTTAAGTGCAATGGTGTGACAATTGCAAAAGTGTGTGTTTTGTTATTGGATTGCAATAAAAAGCTATCAACATTTTTTACAAGACCATTTGCACTAAACACTGAACTCCGCTAATATTTATATTTTGTTTAGCTTTTTGGGCTTTATTATTTGCATTGCCATTATTTGCAATTACAAAAATTATGTATGTATGTATGTATGTATGTATATATGTATGTATGTATGTATGTATGTATGTATGTATGTATGTATGTATGTATGTATGTATGTATGTATGTATGTATGTATGTATGTATGTATGTATGTATGTATGTATGTATGTATGTATGTATGTATGTATGTATGTATGTATGTATGTATGTATGTATGTATGTATGTATGTATGTATGTATGTATGTATGTATGTATGTATGTATGTATGTATGTATGTATGTATGTATGTATGTATGTATGTATGTATGTATGTATGTATGTATGTATGTATGTATGTATGTATGTATGTATGTATGTATGTATGTATGTATGTATGTATGTATGTATGTATGTATGTATGTATGTATGTATGTATGTATGTATGTATGTTTTTTGTTTTATGCACATAATATAAATATATATACATACATGTAAGTACACGTGTAATTAACAAAAACTGCATAAATTTATGTAGGTGTGCTCAGTTATTAATTCAAATAAAACGTTTGTTATTTCTACAATAAATTTTTCCTACCATATAAAGTATATAAATATATTGAATATCGGAGTAGATAGCGCCATGTCCGAGTCTGTCCGTCTTTCTGTCTGTTGAAATCAATTTTCTGAAGACCCCTGATATTCGGATCCAATCTTCAATAATTATGTCAGACATGCTTTCGAGAAATCCCCAGATATTTTCGGGATCCAATCTCAATAATTCTGTCAGACATGCTTTCGAGAAATCAGCGAAATCCCGTCCAGAAATAACGGAGATGTAAGTAAAAAACCGTGACAACCTCTAACAAGTAAGAACGTATAGTCGGGCGTGGCCGACCATATGATACCCTACACCAGTTATGAATATTAAATGTGATTTATTTTTCATAAAGCATTATCTTCAATATTCCCTTGTTCCGATACATTTAAGCAATTTATGGATGAAAAACTAATTTTCTGAAAGAGGCTTTATATGGGGGCTAGGGGCAAATATGGACCAAGCCCGATAAAATTTTGTGAATATATTTATATTTACATAATATTTTATTGTGCTAAATTTCATCGCGATATTTGTGTTTATAAGTTAATTTGGGACTTTCAAGTAATTTTCTGAAGGGGACTTTGTATGGGAGCTAGGTCAAATGGGGCCCGATCTTTATGAAATTTGGCAGGGTCATCCAGACTTCTATAAAACTTAGTTGTGCCGCATTTTATCGATATATCTGTAAATTTAACAAAATTATGAGCTCAAAAGCCCTTTTCGGGGGGTTCTGTTCTATGGGGGCTAGGTGAAATAATGGACCGATTTTAACCATTTTCAATAGGCTTCGTCCTTGGGTCAAATAAAACGTGCGTGCCAAATTTCATCCAATTATCTTGAAAATTGCGACCTGTACCTTGCGCACAAGGTTTACATGGACAGCCAGCCAGCCTGCCAGACGGACGGACATAGCTTAATCGACTCAGAAAACGATTCTAAGCCGATTGGTATACTTTAAGGTGGGTCTAGGACGAATATTTTTGTATGTTACAAACATCAGCACAAATCCAATATACCCTCCCCACTAAAGTGGTGTAGGGTATAAAAATGGTTTAAAAAAACAACATACGCTTACATAAAAAGCGTATGTGTGGTTGTATGTTGGTTTTATTGCTTTACGTATTTGGTTGGTGGCGTGTCATAATGTCCTGTGTCATAATGTCCATAGACCTTATGACACTAAATTGAGTCGTAATGTCCATGAACATTATGACAATTTCAAAAGTGTCACAATGTCCAAGAGCAATGCGACAGAAAGTCCATAGATTTCAAATAGTCCATTTATCCAAAAATTTATCAAATTAACTGAGGTTACTCTCCATTACTGGTATTACTTCCCAGAAAAAACTTACATTGAAAAGCAATGAGTTAAAAAGCTAATAAAACCTCTTTTCACTACTTCTTCATTAGCATTTTAAGTCATTATTTTAATACTGTGATGTCATTGGAGGCAAGTACTTCTACGCTCGCTTACAAATAGGAAGTTAAAGAAGTACTTGCAATTTCTCTTACAAAACAGTTGTTGAGCAAGTTGTTTTGTTTTTTAATTATAAAAAGAGCCAGCTAGAACACGAACCAGGGACTTCGGTTTGTTAGTCAAATGTTCTACTCACTGCACCACTGCTTACCTATTTTATTGCGCGTCAAATAATGGTTTTCACATACAAATCTAATTTTGTTTTCCTATTAAAAAGGCTTTCGAAAAGGCATTCGAAATTCCCCAGAGTTTAAAACCCCTGCGCTATCCAGGACACTTTATAAAAGGAATCCACAATGCAACATACACCAAATTTAGGAGCAATTCTTTTCGGGATAAGTGTGTTCCTTTCTTAAATTCTAATCAAATTTTCCAATACATTTCTCTTTTAAAAGTATCACAATGTCCATGGACATTATGACATTTTAAAAGTATCACAATGTCCATGGACATTATGACATTTTAAAAAAGTGACATAATGTCCATGGACATTATGTCGCTTTAAGGTGTGTCATAAGGTCTATGGACATTATGGCACTGGACATTATGACACGACACCATTTGGTTTCGTTTGGCGTTAGTTATTGTTTTATGTTTTGTTATTGCTAAAGTAAAGGTAGAGTTGGAAAGTATAAAATAAATATAAATGTTATAAAATTAAACTTATTTTAAACACACTATACTAAAGGGAATATACGATTCGGCAAAGGCGAATATTGAACTCTAACGTGTTTTTATCTGATTTATTTTAAATTTGTATATATTGTTAGAAATTTTAACGCGTGTTGCGCGTAAACTTTTCCAAAAACTGCGAAAAAGTAAAATATTTTACCATAAAAATTTTTAGTTGTATATACGAATATGCTATATACTAATGTAATATACTATATATATAATTTTTTGGAGTTAATTAATGAGTGTAAGAATCGAAAACTATTTGGAATTGCCCATGTCAAAAATCGAATAAGACTGGAGACAGTTAAGAGAAAGTTATATAAATTTTTATTTAAAGGTTTAAAAACTTATTTATATGTATATAGGCCAAGAAGGCAGATTCAATAGTAAAAATAAATAAAAAAAATTGAATACTAAGAAATATGCAAATAAGTAGTCTGAATTAAACTTGCGGTACTTTCTGTAAAGAAATCGTTGTTAAATTATGCTGAAATATGTTTTGCCAATATGTTAATTATATTTAAGGTTTAAAAGGTAATTTTCATTAATATATATATCAGATAACTGGAAAAAGTTATTTCTATTTAAACCCAAGTTGTTTTATTTCCTACGTTAGTGTGAATGAGTACATACTCATTTATGTTTTTTAAATAAACCAGACTATGCTAGGAATTTTATTGTGTGTAATGTTGTATACCGGCGATTAGAAAGGATATCTTGCTGCGTATAAGCTTTATAGTTTCGCACAAGGTTTTCAAAACCAACCAATAATACCACACACACAACACACCGTCATAAAAAGGAGAAACTATCAATGTATCAATAATTTTAAAAATCCGAATAAGAATTTCTATTGTTGCTTACCAGTTGCAAAAGTATTTAATTTATTCTCTAATAATATTTGAAAATTACATCAACACTATTTTTTTTGTTTAATGTAGGATATTTGTTATTGTTGATTTTCTTTTATAATTTTGGAAGCTTTTTGTTTTCTTTTATTTGTTATTGATTTGTAACTGACATTCACTTTTTTTAAATCGGTTTTAATTAAAACAATATGATAAAATTAATTTAATACAATGAGATATGTACGAGTACGGCTTGTTTATGCATTTTTTTGTATCTCTTAGATAGATTTGTATAATTTTCAATTGAGTCAAATATTTTTATTTTCATATATATTAGTGTATATTTTTTTATTTATCGCGCTATATAGATATTTTGCATATTATTCCTATTTTTCTTCTTTTGTACTATAATAATTGTATTAGAGGTGCACTTGTTGCGTTCACTTATTTTTATCCGACAGGTTGTCCGCAGACGCAAAGATCTCAAGCAGAACTGTTTTGTGATAAAAACGTAGCGTTGTTAGCGCAAAGCCAGCCATTCAGTCAGTCGTTCCGCATCAGATATTTAACAACAAACCATGGTAACAACATTACAGGGCCACATTGAGTTGGAGAACATTTTACGAATTAAACTCAATTTGAGCCTGACTTACTCGTTGTATAACAAACAGCCAATGTGCTACATGCGGCAACAAGAGAGCAGCAGCAACACGTTACTTTTGGCAATGGATGTGTACAGGTAAATAACGTATGTATGTATGTGCAACCAATGTGATCGCCTGTCTGTTACTACGAAGTAGTATTTTGTACGTGTAAGACTAAGATGGCAGACTTTTTTGAATATATGTATTTATTTATATACATATATACATATATATATATATATTTATATAGATATATATATATATATATATATATATATATATATATATATATATATATATATATATATATATATATATATATATACTTTTTTTTATTTTCTGTTTGAAATAACGTCTTTTATTGTCAAACAACGTTACAAATAATTCCGGCTTCCGATTTATTAAACAAGCTTATCAATCAAATTAACTGAGGTTACTCTCCATTACTGGTATTACTTCCCAGAAAAAACTTACATTGAAAAGCAATGAGTTAGAAAGCTAATAAAACCTCTTTTCACTACTTCTTCATGAGCATTTTAAGTCATTACTTTAATACTGTGATGTCATTGGAGGTAAGTACTTCTACGCTCGCTTACAAATAGGAAGTTAAAGAAGTACTTGCAATTTTTCTTACAAAACAGTTGTTGAGCAAGTTGTTTTGTTTTTTTAATAATAAAAAGAGCCAGCTAGAACACGAACCAGGGACTTCGGTTTGTTAGTCAAATGTTCTACTCACTGCACCACTGCTTACCCATTTTATTGCGTGTCAAATAATGGTTTTCACATACAAATCTAATTTTGTGTTCTTATTTTTGTAAAACACAATTTTTAACACGCAATTAAATAAAATGTGCAAACAAAATGACAGCCGAAAATAAAGTACTTCTATATCAGATTATAAGAAAGTCATTAGTAGATTACTTCTAAGTAATCCAGACGGTAAGTAGTAGTTATTGAAAAATAAGTGGTTATGGAAGTACAACCCATTACCGAGTTTTTGCTGGGTTAATATTATAAATATACCAAAATTAGTGTTGAATATTTAAAACAAGGAAAAAATGTTACTTGTGAAATTCTTATAGTAGAATAAAATTAAATACTTGGTCAAATACCCTGCGAGAGATCCTGAAATAACTCTTAGCAGTAAAATAACTATCGCTTTATAATATGGCTTAATTTTTTAATCCCTTGATTTTTTTAAAGTTATTTAAAATATGTATAGTAAAATGTCATTAAACATTCAAAGCAATTTTTCACGAAACGATATTTTATGGATTATGAAGTCGTTTAGAAAATGATATCACAAACCAAATCAGAATGCTATATTCGGCTATGCCGAATTTTTAATGCCCTCCACCTGTAAGCTACTTTTATTGAAAACCCTTCTAAATACTTCTAGATACGTATTTAATAAATTGTGAAAATTTAAATTGTGCTTCCGTGATGAGGGTGCTACCATTTAGATATCATATATACCTTTCTTTTATGGAGATATGGCAAATTATTGGCCAATCCGGACAAAATTTTGCAGAATGATTTATCAATAAAAGCTACTTTTAATGAAAACCCATCTAAATACTTCTAGATACGTATCATATATACCTTTTATGGAGATATGGCAAATTATTGGCCAATCCGAACAAAATTTCGCAGAATGATTTATCGATAAAACAAGTTAGAGTGCTATATTCGGCTGCGCCGAATCTTAGATACCCTCCACCTTAAATTATAAATTTTTTTGGATTGATTCAAAATTACCATAACAATTACTTTCATTGCGTCTTACAATATGCTATTAAAAACGAAACTACCACTTAACAGACTGTTACAGAACGTACTAAATTAAACAAATGTTAACCTATGTTAAATCCTAATATATATTATAAATCTCTGTGTAAGTCTTTTCGTTTGTTTGTTCGTCAATCACGCCTAAACGGCTGGACTGATTTTCTTCAAATTTGGAACATAGTTAGATCTATACTTGGAGAGTGTTATAGGCTATATATTTTTTCAGAACTTGAACTAGGAGGGGGCAAAAATCAGGTAAAATGGGTGAAAAACGGGCAAAATGAGTACTTTTGATAGTAAATACTGATTTTGTCTATCCTTAAGCAAAATCATTTTCGATTAAACTACTTAATTTGTTAGAAATATATATTACCAAAGTGCCGTTGCGAAAATTGGACCGGAAGGGGACAAAAGAAATATGCCAAATGGAGAAAATATGACAAAATTAGTACTTTTGTGCTTTAAGAACGATTTTTTCTATTCTAAAGCCAAAATATTATAAACTATGATTTTGATAGTCTCAGACATATGTACATATATTTAGAAATCCCACCCTTAGGGGAAAAAACGGGTAAAAAAGGGAAATCTGTTTTTGCTGCGTAAAGAGACTTAATAAATCCATATTTTCAGACAATTCAAACTACTTCAATGAATAAATAACACAAATAAATAAACAAGTAAAAATTTATAGTTCGGTATGGCTGACCATATGATGCCCTACATCAGTGATTATGATACAAATGTTGATTATTTTTTAATAATAAAGCATTTAAATTTATTTTTACCTTAATTCAGAAATATTTTAACAATTTATTGGGTAGATGGTTAATATGGGTCTATCCTTATAAATTTTGGTAAAGGGATTTACGTCTACATTAAAGTTATTTATGTATATAATACATATTTATAAAATATGTATTATGTAGCAAAGTTCCGTTTCGAAATAGGAGAAAAGGCGAAAAAAAGGAAAAATGTTTACTTCTATGTTATAGTCTGATTTTTTTTTTTTCGTTATAAAGTAAAAATATTTTAGACGATGAGTTTTTAGTTTCAGAGATATGTGTATTCGAAAGTCCACCCCTAGAGGGAAAAACAGGAAAAAGAAATTCAATCTAAACGGCTAATTAAAAACGGCTAATTATGTGTTCCTTTGCTAAATTTTTTTTTGTACTTATTTTTTTATTAATATTTTTCCGTAATCGGTCAAAGAATGTGTTTTTCAAAAATGTTTTTGCAAAACATCATTTAAGAGGGAAAGGTTCCTCTCTGCCGTGATTTTCTTAATATATATTTTACAATATCGATTTCTGAAATGATACAAAATATATTAAACAAAATACATAAATTTGAATAATTCAATGGAGAAATAGGTATGGGTAGTATTTTTGTACTGTGTCGGTACCTTTTATAAATATTCAATGAAATTTCTTTTATAGCTTTATAAGATCACAAATAAATTGTAAGGAGTTTCTTCATAAGGAGACCTTCAGCATTTTTTGAAACATGATTAAGTTAGGGACTTGACCTAAAGCATAAAGTGATAGTTTACACTTTATGCTTTAAGTCAAGAATTATTCTTTCTCATAAGTTAAATATGTATATTATAGTTTTACCTAACTAGATAGTATTAGAATTATAATTTTGGAATCTTTTAGCTTTGTAAATTGGAAAAAAATTGTGAAGTAATCTCTTAGTGAGGGGTAAAATGAGTACAATTTTTTCATTTCGTAAATGCAATGTTATGTTATTTAAATCAACGAAATTTTTATATTTCTGAATGTTGAAAAATTTCAGAAATTGATCTATGGACATAAATCATATTTTTTAGTTTACTCTAATATGTTTTGTGTACATATAAATCATTCTACCAAATTTTTTACGGATCGGTCCTTATTGGTCGTAGCTCCCATATAAGGCAAATATCTTTTGCCTAAATATAAATAACTCTTCGAAAATTTTTCCGGATAGGACCATAATTGGTCATAGCTCCCATATAAGGCCCACTTCCGAAAATCACTTAAACGCATATATTTCATTGAATTCTAAAGCTATAGAGATAAAATTCGACTTGAATATTTTTTGTGTACATATAAATCATTCTACCACTTTTTTCCGTATCGGTCCATTATTGGTCTTAGCTTTCATATAAGGCCCACTTTCGAAAATCGCTTAAATGGTCATATCTCATTGTCAAATAAAGTTATCTTGATAAAATTCGCCACAAATATATGTATTTCGTTTCTATATGAATCACCCTACGAAGTTTTGTACGACTTGAATATGTTTTGTGTACATATAAATCATCCTACAAAATTCTTTACGGATCGGTCCATTATTGGTCATAGCTCCCATATAAAGCCCACTTCCGAAAATGACTTAAACGTATATATTTCATTGAATTCTAAAGCTATAGAGATAAAATTCGACTTTATTATGTTTTGTGTACATATAAATCATTCTACCAAATGTTTTACGGATCGGTCCATTATTGTTCTTAGCTCCCATATAAGGACCACTTCCGAAAATCACTTAAACGCTCATATTTCACCAAATAAAGTTATCTTGATAAAATTCGACACAAATATGTTTTGTCTTTATATGAATCACTCTACGATATTTTTTCCTGATAGGCTCCCATATAAGGTCCACT